CGATGGTTTTGATTTTGAATTGTTTATGCTTTTGTGTTTTGCGACAAAGTTGATTGAATACTCCTGCTCATAATATTTTTTAGGATTGAAATCTTAAGCGTAAATTTTCGATCAACTCGAAGCTAAATGTTAAGCAACTCTTTGGTTGTCAGAGCTCGTCAGAAATGTTATCAACCTATAGCTGTTGCGCGCTTCCTAAACTACTTCTTACCAAATACAGTTGATGCTCGATTAAACCTTATTTGTAGCGAACTGTGATTTCACGAAATGTAAGGCTTATTGGTGGAATACCTTCACCAACCATCTACAGCAAGGCGCCTGATTTTCAGGGATGTATCGTATATGCTCACTTATGTTCTTTGTCCTGTAGAGGTAAGATATTTCGTTGCAGAATATTCTATAAGAAAAATTTGGAGTATCATTTGCTTCTGAGAAGAACGTACTGTTCATTTGTCATTATGCAGCGTGATAAGTTATGATGAAATTACCTATAATCATCGAAATTCAGTTATAGCTGGGCTAGCTAAAGTGATAGTTACAACTCTCAAGTCCGTGAAAACACACTTGCGCTAACTTTGACTCTGAACAAGTATCTTAGGTGGTTTAGATAACCGAATTTGCTCATCTATATAAGCGAAACTTGCAATATCATTTGCTTCTGAGAAGAACGTACAGTTCATTTGTCATTCTGCCTGATTATGCCTGATTTTCAGGGACGTATTGTGTATGTTCACTTATGTTCTTTTTCTTGTAGAGGTAAGATATTTCGTTTGCAGAATATTCTATAAGCAAAATTTGCAGTTTGCTTCAATACGGTTCTTCAGTTTGCTTCCTCGGTACTGGATCGCAATTTCAGCTTTCATACAAAATCGAGTCTTGCTTCTATTATGGTACTCAAACGGTTTGAGTACCATAGTTCTCAGTTTGGATGGTCTGCCTGTATAATAAATCGAGCTTATTTGCAAATTTTGATTCATAGATGAGCATCAAAGATGGAACTCTTTAGAAAGCATT